TACGAGGGAAACGTTAAACTGTGTAAACATCGAGCTAATTACTTCGAGACTTTATCGCGCTACTCCACCACCACTCTGCCAAACGCGGCGAACGGATATAAGTGTGGGCGCCAAAAGTGGGGGAAAAGTGCGGATCGTAGGGGGCGAGAAGGGGAAAAGAGGGCGGGAGGGAGGGAGGATGTTTCGTGTCAGAAGACGGTAAAGAAGAGAGCTGGTGTTTATCAATGGAAACTAAACGGAATTAGAATTGGAGATGACGCCGACGGCATCGAAAATCCATTGTGAATGATATTTAATGCGGCGATGCGTAGGTCGGCGAGAAACTTGCACAGCAACTCGGAGAGGAAGAAACGCCACATGAAATTGAATGAATTAATCGCAGAACGTCGTTATGTCTCTCGTGAATTAACAGATACCACACACACACACACACACACATACACACACACAAAATGGTGACTTCGTCGCTTTGCATAAAAAATTTATTCTACGAAAATATTTATTTCAGCTGGATATTCCAGCCAAATTCAGCTTCATCGATTTCGACAGCAACGTCTGTATATCTAATCTGGCTACGTCGACGATATCCCACTTTTCATTGTTAACTAAAAATACCTCGCATGTATGTACGTTTTTTTTACTCCTTTCGTTTACATACTCTTTGGCACTTTCGTGACGTACACTTTTTTGCGATCGTGTCGTATCGATTTATACTTTTTGTCTGTAATTGTTCGTCGTAAGAAACTCTCGCGACACGGGGCTAAACAATGCAAACGAGTAGGGTAGAGAGGAAGGAAAAGACGGAGTTTGAGGGTGCTCTCAGTGCGACGATAGTAACTGCTACTCACGGAAAGTGAGGAGACCCAGTTAATTACTAAAGCGTTTTAATCGCTGGCAAAGTTCCGTCTGGGCCGGAAGGTGCTTCGAGGATGCGGCGGCTGTGTAAATTAGGAACTCGCCAGTTTCCTCTTCGCACTCCTTCCCGCGTCCGCATTATGTACGCTCGGTCTCCCGAGACGAGCGTCAGCATAATTTCCACCAAAAGCCGACTTTTAGGTAATAATGCCGCTCCTTCGAAATCAACTTCCTTAAGTCATCTTTGGAAATTATTCCTGTTCTGTTGACCGACCGATCCTTCCTTACCTCCGCGCACAGAGTAAAAAATCTCGTGCCGAATTTAACACATTTCACATGTACCGAACGTCCATAAAAATTTCTGTGTTAACACAAGATGAATATGTCGAAAAGTAACACAATATATCATGTCAAAAATTAACATAAAATTAATATCCATAATATATTAATTGATACTGAAATGTAAAATGTGTTATTTTAACATTTACAAGTGTTATTTTAATACTTATAGATGTTGAATATCGACTCAACACAAAATATTGAGATAACATAAAATACAATATATTAAATTAACACACGGATATGTTAAATATTAATTTAATACAAAAATTTTATCAAGGATCAATTTTAACACAAGTACAAAATGTTTTTTTACCGTACACCTAACTTCGAGTTTAATATGGAAAACGAATTCAATTTATGACATTTATTATAAAATGTCACGTGCAAATGCAAATTTTATTAAATACAAAAATTATTGTGATATTATATCGTTAACATGTTATTAACAAATTTATACAAATTTCTACAATTAATTCACAGTGTTATTAGCATTTTCAAAAGCGCAAGACATCTCAAATTGCACGATATCTAACAAAGGATCTTCCCTCCCTTCTTATTCTAATTTAACTCCTTAACGCCGATGCGTTCTTTTCCAAAGGATTTTATTTAACCCGATATTAAATGCCTCTCTCTTTCTCACCTTTTCACTGACCCCTCCTCTCCTCTCTCCGGTTCCTGGCGCATATTTAGGGGTCGCTGGTTACAGGTTGCCTCGGCAACCACATCGAGAAACCCTCTATCGTTGCCAAGGCAACCTTCTCCTTCGTCTTCTCATCCTCTCCTCCCTTCCAGAGATTCAATTCGAGAGAGCGAGAACGAATCTGGAGGCCGGAAGGGGAAAGGGATGCTGATTTCTGGAGGGTAAAGGAAGGGCGGGAGGAGAATCAAGGAAGAGGAAAAAAAAGATGGTGCGCCTCTGGTGATTGTATTTGATGGCACGAGAGCGAGGATGTACCAAATGAGGATTTGACCTTGATTAAAGGTGATGTCTCTCTCTCCCTCCCTCTCCCTCTTTCCCGCTCATTTTACACTCTTTATCGCCGATTAAACGGTAAATTAAAAAACAATATAAATATAAAATTTAACTGTGTTAAAATTTATTTTTACTAAAATTAAATATAAAATTAAAGAAAGATTCACGGAACTTTGCCAAATTTCTAAACGCATTTTTGGGTATTTTGTCTATACTTTGTTTATTGCAAAAACGCAAATTTAGGTTAGTGCGTTAGTTGTGAAATTAGATAAAACTTGTTCGTCGAGTCAAGAAGCATCGCAGGACTTAATCGCACGCGGATTTTCGTGCGGGTTTCGTATTCGCAGCTGAGCCGGGCGAAGAACTTATTCATAAGATTATTCGCCATTTTCGTCATGGCGCTCTTCCTGTATCGTTATTTAAGTTTTATATTAAAGTACGGTCCGGAGCCTCCAGGTATTTGATGTATGGCCTGCGCGTGTTCTGGTTCCTTCACCGGGACGCACCTAAACGTGAGATATCGTACCCGATCAATTTTTCATGGCTCCGCTTCACCCCTTTCAGCCCCCCTCATCACCTCTTTCCTCGCTGAGATCGCTGAGCTCACTGTTATTCGAGGAACTGCCGTTAAATAATCGATTAATTGTCCGTCTAATAAAAAGATTATCATCGAAACGTCGCTTGCATCCTTAACACGATTGAATGCCTCGTTGATTTCCGTCGGATCTTCGACAGCTTATTGAAAATCGAGAATTATGGATATTTCACAAGTTTTTTGAGTATATTCGGCGGTACCCACAAGTTTTTTTTTTTTTTTGATACCCGGTTTTTTCGCAGCATACCGAGTATTTTATTCGGATATTATTCATGAATTCTGGATATTTTCTATACTTTCTACACAGTAAAAAACATTCTGTACTTGTACTTGCATTGAAATTGGTTCTTATTGAAATGTTTAATTTAAGTATTAAATTTTTAACATATTGTGTTTAAATTATCTCAATATTTTGGTCGATATTCAACATGTGTAAGTGACAAAATATCACTTGTAAGTGTTAAAATAACACATTTAACACTTCAGTGTCCGTTAACATGTTGTAAATATTAATTGTGCGCTAATTTTTAACATAATATTTGTATTATTTTTCAATATGTTCACCTTGTGTTAAATTAATACACAAATTTGTGTGGACCGTTTGGGACATGAAGTGCGTTTTTAACGCGAAACTTTTACTATATAGGGAAAACCTAATTTATAAGCTAAGCTAGTCTAATCTGTGAATTAGATTATCGAGCAGATACGTGGGCCACCGGATAAAGCTATTCAGCTTACACCGACAGTTTTAATCCGTAATTACTAGGTGCACAAGACATTACAACAAAAGGCAGCAAACTGTGCTGACGATTCAGCATAAACCGCCAAAATTCGAAGAACGCGAAATTTAATTTCGATATGAAACATAGATTAGAATCTATCCTCTGATGTTATTTCGAAAACAATACCCGGGGACAGGATAGATGAGTGCAGTTCTGCCGGTTCTGGTCGGCGAGCGAGCGAATCGTGTGCTAAATAACTTCGCTAACAAGCTGCCGCCGCCGCCACTGTGCAAAAAAAGATTACGTAAGCGGTAATGGCCGCCGGCTCCTCCTAAATTCGAGAACGAAGTGTTCCGGGCGAGCGCGCAATCCGAGAAAGGGGCAGAGGAGGTGAGAGAGAGAGAGAGAGCGCTCAGTTGGTGGGGGTTAATTTTAATTTCCCAATTTTTCCCACACTGAGGTAGCGTAGGTAATTTCCTCCCCAGCAGAGAATAGATGTAATTACTTAACGCCTCCGAGCTCCTCTTATTAAAAGAGGATCGCGCCCTCGGGGTCTGGAGGGGCGGAAGAAGCTCGGGGTGGGTGTTGCCGGAGGAGTGGTGGTACGCGATCATGGGGGGTACCTCTTCCTCACGAGCTCGTCCATCCACGCTCAAAACCGAAAGAGGGTTTCCCGTTTCACTAATTTCATCAATGAAGTAAAATCCCACAAATCAAGCAGCGAGATAACAAGCAACGAAATGTGTAAGGTTTTTTAATTCAGCAATTCGTCGAAAAGACGTTTTCAATCGACGGAATCGTTAAAGAACAAATCCTCCCCTGTCGTCCGTAATCATTCCTTCGATTCTCGTATTTTTGCGGCGCGTTTAACGCGCCGGTACAATCACGCGACTGTTCAACGCTCGTCCGGCGATGATAACAAGCGCGGTCTTTAAATTGGACGAATCAAACTGAGAAACGAATTGCCGCGTTTACGGTAGCCAAAGGCTTGAATTTGGAAAGCCTTCGTTTCGGGAAAAAGGAGAAGGGAGAAAGAATGGACAACGGGCGGGACAACAATGCCGGGGCAATAAACAACCGCATGACTCACTGATATATACTTTGCCTGTCCATTACAACGAGCCCGACTCGGATCGAATTCGAGTGCCTCGACCGATGAGATCGGCGAAGGGTGTCTCGGCAGCGGCTGTGAAGGGAAGGGAGGAGCCATCTTGCGGCCTGTTTCAAGGCAGCTACCAATTGATTCGCCCCCACCAGGTGCTACGACCAGGCGTCGATTCAATTCCAGGACGAAAAAAGCGTCCGGTGGGCGTAGCCAGGCGTGTAATTCCTGCGGCTGCATTGGCTTAAAATTCCGCACTACCCGCGAGCCCGCCGCGCGCCCAGCCAATCGGAAGTCTCGGGGCGGGTCCTGATACCAGTTTCAGTTTCGCGGACAGAGGGGAGTCGTTGACTCGAGTCTCCGGGCAGATAGTGCTGTGCCGTTGGCTCGTGCCGTCGTGGTTCTGATACTAGCAGGTCCTTGCCATCAAGGAACTCTCGGGGACCCGACTGTCACGCGCACGAAGCCGCAGCCCGAGGTGCCGGAAGTTTCCGGTGACGTGACGACGGCCGAGGAAGTGTCGCGAACGCGTGCGGTTCAGTGATCCGATCACAGACATGCTTTTCCCGAACTGCATCGGGAATCTCTCGTTTCTCCGTGGACCGTGGGCTCCCTAGTGACGTCAGATTGGGGACTGTGAGGCTCTTTTGGGAAAGCATCGTTATCCGACGAGCTCAGCTTTGATCCTCCGGAAACGGACTAATTATCTTCGCAGATGCCAGTGAAATTGACATGGTGGACCGTCGATCGTGGACATATGATCAACGTACTGCGGTCTGATTCGCAATATCAACCGAACTTATCTGGACAGATTTGTTTAAAGGTCGCAAGGACGGCGTGAAGCTGGCCGACGGCTGGCGAAATAGCACGACTCGCTTTCCTGATAAGCTGCTCGTGTGGTAGAGATTATAAAATATGTGAAGCATGGTTACTGGCAGGCCGGGGCCGCGGGATTGATCTGTAGATCCCGAAAACGTCCGTAAACAAGGCAAATATGTAAACCATGGTCGTCAGAAGCAACAATTAATCTCGGGCTATGTTTGGTTTGTAAGATAAGTCGAGAGGATTACTGAAATGGATTGGTGTCATCATTTAGACGGCTCGAGATGGAAGATGTAAAGGTTGGTTCAAAGCAGCAAGGCTAGCAACCTCCGTCTCGATGATCTACGGATGAGCAAGTAACCTATGGCCAGTGATGATCCATGGAGTGCGTTGTTCAGTGATCGTGCTCCAGCGAACAAAATGGAAGATATAATAAACACCGTGTGTTGATCCGAGACGCCTAACGACGACCCACGAAGGTCTCTCGACAGGCAACAACCCCCCGCTTTCGAGAAAGCACATGACTCCAGCGTACCGTCGATAAGGTGACCTCCTTCCTCCCTGGTGATCGGGTTTTGTTGATCGTACGGATTGATGCGAGAGGACTGATCGCTCTCCAACGGAGAGACAAGCGCCGGCGAGTTGGTACCGAACATGGTGTTGGAGCCCGGAGGCGGTCTGTCCTTTCCGCTGCCTCCCGGCAGCGGCTCCAGCGCCTCCGGAGGATCCTTGCTGGCCCCGACCAGACTGTTTCAAAGGACGACGCCCGTGTTTCCATTCCATCTGACGGGATGGCCGCCACATCACCCGGTTCTGGGGCAGGTGCAAAGTCAAGTCCAGCAGAGTATGCAGGCCCAGCATCAGGCCGCTGCCGCTGCTGTCAGGTTCCTCAGTCATCATCACCCGCATCATCCGCATCCGGCGCTGAGCAATCATTCCCTGGTACCGGCGATCACCGGGCATCACCCCACTGCGCATCATCTGCATCACACTGCTGATCACGGAGAGGAGGACGACGAAAAGAAGGGTAAGTAGATCGCGGATGTTGTTATGATCGTCGTATTTGTGTGCCGTAAATCAGTCTTCTTTCTGATAGTTGATGCGTCAAATTATGACGTAACGTCCCCGTCACGAGTGTCGCGTGAACATTTATCTGAATTAACACAGACATCCGCGAGACATCCCACTATTTGCCAGATGTCTTACAAAAGCCCTTTAAGTGGATCCTGGATTTCGTGTTGTTCGGACTCGCTCCGTTTCTACGAAAGAGCTGGAGGAAGCGTGTACAACAGTCCGTTGCCATTTCCAGATTTTGATGGGGAACAGGAAGAGTTTGCGTTTAAGATATCGATGTAAATGAAAGGCAAAATTTCCACTTCGATGATTAATAACAGCTCGGTACGACGCTGAGATAAGGTGTATCCCGTGATTGCGCGTCGAAGCTCGTTGATTGCGGCAGCCATTCCGAAATAGCTTTTGAAAAACGGTCTTCAGGGAGTGGCGTAACACGGTCAATCATAAGATCGTTCCTGACGAACCCCTGGGATCGCTTACGACGTTAGTCCCTATCCCATTTTCCCGCCCTTCCCGGCGGCCGCCCGTCTGAAATCGTATTTCGTGCGCGAGAACGTCCGCGTTACCGAGGGTGGAAATCTGTTTTTTACGTGATCTCATTCACGTCCCTAACACTTGTTTATGCCTCGAAGGGAGCGCCACTTAATTCGCCTGCCTTTGGCTTTCGATTGTTTCCGCTGCTGGAAATTTATCGCGCAACACCGCAAATTTGCATGAATTGCCGCGGCCTCTCCCGAGCGCGAGTTCAAAATCTATCGCGATGTAATCAGGTAATTAAAGTTGAGCTTCACGTCTGAAACCCACCGAAACTTTTCATTCAACTTCACACGGACGGACTTTGGGACTAAATTGATAGCTTCGTAAAAGGCTGATTTGGAGATCCGAGATAATCGAGAAATTTGTGTATCTTCTCACTGTTCTATCGTCGAGTGAATTATAGCTTTTGTTTATTCGGGTCAAAGGAACTTCTCACTTGCATCGCTTCGTTTTCGCTCGGTGACTTTAAACTTCTTTCCCAACAGCTTGTCGCGCTAGATCACGCCTAAAGGTTTCGTTGGTTCCGCAAAAGTGCGCTACATTCGGATATCTTTATAATTACATGATAATTTCCACGCCGAGCAAGAGTATTTCCTCGGCGAATGTCAGCCGGACACGCGAACGCGATGTCGAGCGGGTTCGCCCCGATTATCTCGGTGTTTGCGAAAATTCTTATTTAATGCCGCAAAGAATCACTTCGTTGGCAAGAAAGAAAAGGGCGTAGCCATTACCATAGGTCTCAGAATCTGAGCGGTCCAAGGATTCTTCGAGCGATTCCCGAAGCAGGGACAATTGATGTGTCTCTCGGATATACAATCGAGAAAAAATCAAACGAGCCGATTAGAGCCGATTTGAAGTATCAGCTGCCAACGCTCGAATTCCGAGTTCCCAACGTGTTTGTTTAAAAATCGCTTCATTGAAGGAACACCGAGCGAGAAAATGGATTCGCTTCCCGATGGGAAGCAGAGTTAAGTGTCGGATCGGCGTAAATGCGATACGCGGAACAATCAATCGTTCACCGTGTTCCACTTCAGGGCGAGCTGCATCCTACACACAACGGAACGCATTGTATTCCGCACGGCCGACAATTAATTACACCGATTCTTAATTAATCGTTCACGGTACGTTGCGACTTTATCCCAATTAATATCATCCGACGATATACGCTCCCACCACGATCTCTCTCTCTCTCTCTCTCTCTCTTTCCCTCCTTCTCTCTCCCTCTCGCGAGACTCCCGTTTACATAATTAGCTCGGCAGCGGAATGCTCGCGGACTCGCGTGCGTATGCCTTTACACGATCGTTAAACTTTTTCAACGTTAGCACGATCGTTAAGCCAGCGCTTAGCGTCGCCGCGAAATCGCGTCCCGTCGGCGCTCGCGGCGGCTCCCAGCTCGCACAAAGCCGCCATGCCGCGCAATCTCGTAGCCGTGAATTAAGATTCAAACGAAGAGGCTGCGCGCCCCGGCTGAATTAAAACGTGTCGTTTCTCGCATTAATCCGATAGGAACACAGCCATGGAAAATCAGACATATGGTATCGGGCCGGGAGAGCTTCCATTGTTTCATTTTTACGAGGACGCCGCACGACACGCCAGGTGTGAAGCATCTCTCCTCTCTCTCTCTCTCTTTCTTTTCTTCTTTTCTCGCGAATTAATCTCTCTCCTTCGAAATTTTTCACCGCACGGCAAGTATCGTGCAATTATAAACGTGAACACTCTCTCTCGTGCCGAACAATCGTACGTAGATCGCGCGTTGCACAAGGCGCGTTTAAAATAGACAGCTGTAGTTTACAGCCGCGCGGTTCTGTGAACCGAATGAACAAACCCGCGCGCATAAACATTATAACCCCTTCTCGTTTCTCGATTACGATCGAACGTGCGAGAGATATTCATGAACTGTGATTCGCATCGTAGCTGCGATATTAACCTCAGAATGGATACGTTCATAAATAAATACATCGTGCAATTAGCTTACCTGTGCCACGAGGATCCAATAAAGTAACACAAACAACGGTGACATGCCTCGGTATTGCGTAACCTGACGTAAGAATGCCGGTGCTACCACCAAAGCTGTGCCAACCTTAGCGTAACAAAGTGTATAACAGTAATACCCATTCGAGGGTTAATTTCACGTAATGATTGAATTGTTACTTCAAGCTTTATGTGCTGCACACGTAGTATATCATGACGAATGCCTGAGTTGTTCGTTACAGCTGTCTTTCTTTAAAGCAGCCTTAAGGTACAGTTGATGCATTGCGATAGAGAATTTGTGTGTAGCTGTTGTACGTGTAAACTTACAGTTTACACGACTCACAATCCTGATAAGATCCTCTGATGAAAGTGAAATGCTTCACAGACTACTGTGGGATTCATAAGCTAACCCGGCCTAATTATTTCCGCCTAATAATAGACGTGTGTGTGTGTGTGTGTGCGTATGTGTGCGCGTACGACTGTCAGGGTGTAACATACTTATCAGTAATATCAGCGGCAGATTGGAAATTGTTGTTTCCCGGTCCATGAATTCCGAAAGGAATTATTTCGAAGACGGCACACTTGCACCCTCGCTCGCGTCCGAGGATCGTTACTTCCTCGATTACAACGAACGAAATAACAGTGTCCATCTCCGAAAGAAACGATGCGCTCGGAGAGGTGCAAAAAGGGAGGGGGTGGAAGGGGACGCACGGAAGAGCAAACGAGTCGGGTTTCTTTGGTAAGCAATCGCGTTATCGTAGCATCCTGTCATTATTTTACGATTAGACCGAACGAGGAGGCATTAGGGCAGTTGACAAGAAAGGGCGACCGGCCCCGGCAGAAAGCGAAAGATAGGGAGAAAAGGCGAGAGAGGAAGAGAGAGAGGGAGGAGGAAGGTGAGAAGGAGTGAGAAATAGTTTAATTGACCGGGGGACGAGGAAGTTAAAGGTAACGTTTTAACGCGGAACCGCCTGGATTTGCCGCGGTGTTTCTCGCGGAGATATCTCGCTTTTCTTCCCTCCGCCGGCAAAAATGAAGAAATAACGCGCGAAGTGTTGGCTCGAGTGTGTAACGTAAACCTTAGCATTAACCCTTTGCAAGCCGCTATTGACCACAATCTATAAAGCACTGTCGCTGTTATTTAACGTAATAACAGACGAACCCTCGACGTGATTCAAGACAAAAGTAAGTAAGAAAATTCCTAAGTATACGGCGAGTCTTCGCCAAACTCACCACCCTTGGATGCTATAAAGCCGGTGTAAGCTGATAAATAATGATAAAATTCCCCGTTTTAAGTGTTGGAAACACGCATGCGGTGTCGGCGAGTAGAAAACAAAAACTGATTGGCAAATATCATACGCGCGATGCGATATGTCGCCGAAAAAGAAACAGTCGCTCTCGCACTCGCATTTGATTTTCTCACCGGCGTTTGGTCTTGCGCAAATGTAAATGCAATTAAAAAGAGTGATAATCACGCGGTTAGCGCTGTAATTATTGCCAACGGCGGGCTACAGCAATAGCTAATCGGCCACAGCAATAGTTAATCATGGAAATCGTTCACCATGGAAAACGACACGCGTCGGTAATTTTTAGCACTTAAAGTAAGGAATAATTTGTGTAAATGACATTACGAGCATTGCACTAATGTCACGATAGTGTCCTGCAATTTTACGTAGAACACTAGCGTGTGATTTAAGCGACCGGTAAAAACCAAATCGTTGCTCGAGCGTTCACGCTGAGAAAAGAAGATTAACTTAAAAATTTATTCGTGAGATATGAGGTTTATTTCGCAAAATTGAACGTTTATTTAATTGCGGCGAAACGAAATTTTATCTTCAGTAAATAAACCAATTAATGAGAGAATTTAGATATATTCCGTCATCACGGTCAAATTTTTTTCTAACCGATAAATATCGAAGAAAATGTCACAAGAAACATTCGTTTCGCAAAATTTCAATTTCTTTTTCTCAGCGCAATAACGATTTTGGTTTTTACTGATACTTTCATTTATTTCTTTGGTTTTAATCGATGCCATATGGAAAAGGAATATTATTAAAAAGGTGATTATCCATGAGAAATGTAAATATGAATATAGTTGCATGATTTTCACACACTGAGAAACCCGTTTAGCGACAAAATTCTTGTTTGGATGTGAGCAAACGAGTGTTGGTGAAACATAAATCTCACATAAGGATATCAGCGCATCCCCGAAGTTGCCAATTTTAGCATAATAAAACGAGATTCTTGGCGTTGTGCGAAATTTCGGCAACAATTCCAGGATTCTTTTTCTTCAAGAATAAAATTAGATTTGTAAATTATAACATCGAGACACACGTACACACATACACACACACGCACATTACCGTTGCAATTATCGCTGAGATAACCTATGCGATTTTATTTCAGACCGATATATTAGATTCGTGGAAGCATATTATCGAATTA